TGGGCCGGAAGTCTGGAAGACTCATCTTGAGTCCAAATCTGGCCTCAGATACTTCCTAGCTGTGTGACCCTGGACAAGTCACTTACCCCTCTTTGCCTCAGTTTCCTCACCTGTAAAATGAGCTGGAGAAGGAAATGGTAAACCACTCCAGTATCTTTGCCAAGAAAATCCCAAATGGGGTCACAAAGAGTTGAACATGACTTGAACAACAAATATAAATAAAAGCCGTTTGGGAGTGGGTGCTTAATAATTTTTTTAAAAAGTTGATCTTCACAACTGTGAGGTAGTCAATCAGTCAACAAGCATTAAAGAAGCATTTAATATCTACCTATTGACAGATACATGGTAATCTCAGGAAAGGTCTCCTGCATAAAGTCAGATTTTAGCTAAGACTCAAAGCAAGTCAGAGATATGGGTGCTATGATGATCTCCATTTTACTGATGAGGAACTCCAGGCTCAAAAAGATTAAGTGACTTGCCCAGGGTCATACAGCTCATAAGCAACTGAGGCTAGATGAGAACACAGGGCTTTCTGACCCAAAGTACAACATGGTATCCACTGTGAGAATCAGAATATTAAAACTTGAAGAGGAGGATCCAAACTAGAACTAAGGTTTCCTGATTCCTAAGCCAGTGTTCATTTCAGTATAACATAGTATACACACATTGGCTGAGCTGCGATCTACTAACTCCTATCATATAGGATAAATTTCTACTATGTAGCCTAGCTTGTGATTTCTTTTGTGTGTGGGAACTCACTTCACTGATACAGATCAGCAACTCGTCTGCAACCTATAATCTAAAGGAGTTGTTTGGGGGCATGGGAAGGCTTAGAATTTTCCCCAGAGTAATCCCTGCAGTTGCATGTAGTTGTGGTTGTGTGGTCTGGGTCCAGTGGGCAGATATAAATCAGGACAAATGAAGATGGGCCAGGATGCAGTAGGAGACCTTGGCCTTTTTAAGCTTTAGTATGTGTCAGAAGTAGGACTTGAACCTACTCAAGGAACAACAAAAAGCCAACTTGGCGAGACTTTAGAGTGTGTGTGTGTGTGTGTGTGTGTGTGTGTGTGTAGTAATGGAAGTAACATATAATAAGGTAGGAAAGATCGGTCAGTTGTGGACAGGTTGTGAACATCTCTAAATACCATTATCTATCATCCTTTATTTACTATTCAATACCAGGCCATACTATGATTAAATCCCAGGTCTGGATCTTCTCCTCCCAGGAAGCCTAGCAACTTTCATTCTTATGCCTACAGAATGGAGTGCTCAAGGAATCAAAGTTCCATAGATGATAAGGCATCTTTAGGACAGAGGATCTTGGCAAACAGCAGAAAAAAAACTGTTGCTTTCCTTAACAGAGAGGAGTTTTGCCCTCATCAAAAGGCCTTCAGTAAAGACAACATTCTTAATCCTCCAGAAACAACCAGTAAAGTGTTCCTTAGATTTAAGGTGTTCCTTAGATTTAAGGTGTTTCTGACAAAGCTGGATGCTCAGAGTATGGCTCCTACATCCCCTCAGGACTCTAGGGGTAGTTCTGAGGGATTAGAGGATTGTTTTCCCAAGTGCTATATAGTTCACAAGCCCCTAGTATTTTTTGATTGTTTCCCTGCCACAGTTGTTAGTTGATCAAAATATGTAAAGGGGCAGAACCCTCAGGGAATTATGGTAAAACACTCATGGACTCTGCTGAGATCCTAATAAATCTTGTTTAGTGTTGCCAATTACAAGTCATGAGTAAAATGAAAAGAGAACTTACCTAGAAAGTCCTAGATTACAGTCTCAGTTCTGATGCTACTTCTGTTATCATGTGGGAATTTTAACCTTAGTACCATTTATCCTCTGTGATCTTATTTCCTTATTTGTATAATAAGGAAAATACTTAGACTGTCTATCTCACAGGATAGATGTGAAATGTGATTTATAAAACTTAAAGCTATAGCTACAGGATTATCTCAATTTATGCATGTTGCACATACTCTGGAGCTAATATCCCAATTCACACTCACACTAACAAGGTTGTGTGCTCAGAACATGACTACTACATTTAGAGCTCTAAAAGGGACTGGGGGGGAAAGGTTTGTTTTCTTTTCTTTTCTTTTTTTTCCTTAGGTTTGTTTTCTTAATGCTATAGCTAACAAGCCCCTACCACAATGTTTTCAAGCCAATATTGTCCATTTATCTGAATTAATCAGCCAGACTTAATTACTTTTTAGAATGGGGTATTTTATGCAATACCCCCAGAAGACTATGACACACTCTTCCACAAGTATAAAAACAGCCAAAGTGGGCTCAAGTTTAGAGCACCTGTGATGGAATAACTCAGTCCTCCTTGAAATTCTTCCACTAGAGTCTACATAATGATACCCTTAAGTATCAGATATATTTTCTGGTGGGACTTTTAAAGAGCCACGAAACCACATCCAATCTGTCTTTGGCTCGAGATGCAGAAATTGCCATCAACTGATCCAGGAATGGTGCTAGGATGCCAATGGGAAGTCCTTTTGACATCTGGAGTTCATCAGATTCTCCTCCAGTCATGAATAAATGGGGAGAACAGAGAAGACCAAGACTAATATCTGGCTCATATTCCTTTCTTCTTTTCTACTTTCCTTCCTACTTTTTCCATCTTTGATACCAAGAGCTATTTGTTGGTGACAATTCCAATAGGATTAAGTAGAACTTTTTCTTTTATTCTGTGGTCAAATGGGACATAGCAATGGGTAGAAGAAAGGCAAGATGAAGCAGGCTTAAAAAAAAAAGTCTGACAGCTCATGCTGTTAGTTCCTGGAGGGTAGAAGGTAGAGAAACAAAGGGCAATGGTATGCCTAGATGACTCACGGACTCACTGAATTTTCAAGTGGGAAGAGATGTCAAAATTCATCTGGCCCTACCTATGCAGCAAACTGTGGTTAAATTATTTGCCAAAGGTTGCAGTTAGAATTTTGGTTTCACTCTCAATCCAGTGCTCTTTTCACTACACTACACTGCCTCTCCTAAACTGTTTAATGGTTCCCTGCTTATTCCAGGAAAAAATCCAAAGTCCTCAAGTTAGCATTTATGGACTATTTCTGCCAGGCCATGAACTATTCCTGTAAATCACATAAACACTCCCACTTCAAGCCTTTGCCCATGCTATTCTAAGGTTCATTCCAGATCTAAATCTCAGCTCCCCACAAAAGATTCCCCTTTCCCTTTCTTCTCCAATTAGCCATATCCTCCCTTTCAGAACCATCTAAAATCCTACTTCTTTCATAAGGAAACCCCTAACAACAATTCCCTTCTTTGACTTCTCAAAACAGTTATTACTTGTCCTAATTCATTCAGGTACTTAAGCACACTATAAGGAAGAGAGATTATTAAGTTGTTTAATATGTTATAAAACCATAGATTTAGGGCAGGAATGGACAGACATCAACTGATCCAACTCCCTCATTTTACCAAGAAACAAAGAAAGAGTGGGAGGGAGGTAGGAAGGAAGGAAAAAAGAAAAGAAAAAAGTAAGCTTTTATCCCAGAGTAGTTATGGCACTTGCTCTAGGACATCAACCAGTGGTTATTTTGCAAAGTCAGAATTTGTACAAACTACCAATCTTGAAAGCTCCACGTCTGAAAGTACTATCTCTTAGACCCACTTTGCATTCCTTTAAGTACTATGCATGTTCAGTTGAAATATAGTGAATGTTGTGGGCTGAAAGATAATGGCATCATGGATTCACAGACCTAGGGCTAGGAGGGATATAAGAACACCATCTAGCCCCAAACCTCTCATTTTACAGATAAGTAAACTGAACTGAGAGAGACTAACTGACTTGGTAGTAAGCATCCGAAGTGGGATTTGAACTCCAGATTTCTGAGTCCAGAGCCTGTGATCTTGCCACTGTACGACTCTATCAAATCCTAATCATACCAAATCTAATCCTAATAATGATAGCTAACATCTATATAGCCCTTACTATGTACCAGGCACTGTGCTGTGTTCTATAATTAATAAGGATAATGATAATAGTTAGTATATGTGTCGTGTCTATACATGCATATATATGTACACATATATGTATGTATAGATAGACAGAAGATACAGCATTTACCACGTGCCAGGTGGAAGGCAAGTAGGTGGCTCAATAGATAGAGTACAGGGCCTGGAGTCAGGAAGAACTGAGTTCAAATTTGGCCTCTTACACTTAATAGTTGTGTGACCCTGGGCAAGTCACTTAACCTCTATTTCTTCAGTTCTCTCATCTATAAAATGAGCCGGAGAAAGAAATGGCAAACTACTCCAGTATTTCTGCCAAGAAAACACCAAACGAAGTCACGAATAGTTGCACAAGACTGAACAACAACAAAAACGTGCCGGGTACTGTGCAAAGGGTTTACCATGAATAACGATGACAATGATAATAAACACTGACACAGTACTTGCTGTGTGCCAGGCACTGTGCTAAGAACTTTACAATTATTATCTCATCTGATCCTCACAACCACCTTGGAGGTAGGTCCGGTATTATCCCCAGTTTACAGTCGAGGAAACTGAGGCAAACAGGTGAAATGACTTGACCAGGGTCACAGTCAGTGTCTGGGGCTGGAGATGGAGGCGGGAGGGAGGGGATCCTTTATGAATTCGGTCTCCCGCGTCACCACAAGGGTCAGAAATCCCGGAAGGCACAATGGCCTTGCACGTAACCAGACGAAAGGACCACCCCGGGCCTGGTCGCGGCACGAGCCCGCGGCTGGCGGCTGGGGCTCGGGGCCGGCTGCCAGATCCGTCCTCTCCGTCCCGCCAGGTAAGCCGACCCCAGCAGGGGACGGGGCCGCACGCCCCATTTCACTAGTGGGCTCCGACAGGGACGTTTGGCCCCGGCCCCGCCCTTCTCTTTCCCGGGACCTTGTCTCTTCGGCCTCCCGGCCGGGACCTGAGGAGAACTCAACGCGCAGGAGCGGAAATGACGTTTTCCCGCGGTTGAGCGCGGAGCTTTTGGTGCCGGGCTAGGGGTAGAGAGGTGGGTGGAGACAGGGATCTCCCGGTTGTTTGGTTGTTTTCGGGGAGCGCTTAAAGTTTTCTAACGGGAGCCGAGAGAGGACGAGGAGCTGCTGGTGCGGCGCGTTCACGAGGAAAGAGCGCGTGTGCGCGTGCTCCCCTTCCCCCCTCACCTCCTACCCCCTCGTCGCTCCTGCCAGTCAGTCAGTCATGCCACCCAAAGCCCCTCGCAAACCGGCTGTTGCGACCTCAGAGCCGCCGCCGCCGCCTTCCCCTCCCCCTCGCGAGGAGGAACCGGAGCCGGACAGCGGCCCAGAGGACCTGCCGCTCGTCAGGTGAGGAAGCCGGGGCCGGAGCCTCTCGGGGGAGGGGGGCAGCCGGCGGAAGCCGCGGCGTACAGGGAGGGGCCGGCTGCTTGGCGGGGCGGCCCTGCGGGCCCGAGCCGGGAGCGGGGGGCAAGCACCCGGCGGCGGCGGAGGCGGCTGCGGCGGCTCTTCTCCACCCGCCCCCGGCCGCGCTGACAGCTGCGGACGCGGGTCACCGGGCCAGGGGACGGGGCTTCCAGGCGGCAGGCTTGGCCCCAGGTTGACAGGTGGGTGGGGCGGGCCTGGGTCCTGGGGAGAAGGAGTGACAGGTGGCTTCTTTCTCTCTCGGGTTGTTGAGGAAGACGGCTGGGGTGGGTGGGGGTAGTGACTTTGCTTGGAGGTCTCCAAGTAAAACTGGACTTAGTCGGGGAGAAAGCATTGTTTTCTCCCTAGAGATGCACCAGAGTCCTGTTCTGTTTTGTATGTTGGAGTTCGATGATTGTTTGGGTCCGAGACAATGCAACCTAATTAGATACGTTAAAAAAGAAAACAACAAAACACCCCTCCCCCCCTTGTGTGTTGAATGCCTGGGTGCGAATATCATACTCTGCCACTTCCTGAATAATAAAGCTAATAAAAAAAATATTGGTTTTACTCTCTTGCAAGATCTTACTGTCGGGGTGGTGGTGGGGACATTTGCTGTCAGAATTGAGGGCACGGTCATCTAATTGACTGCCTAGAATGAGGGTTCACACTTTTGTAGTATTACAAGACTAATGAGAGATTTAGTGAACCCTGGCCATTGTGTATTGCAATGCTTTAAGACGTTAGGTGGCAAATGTAAAGTTATTCGTAGTGATTTTGTAAGAAAGTAGCTCATTAGTAGAATTTTCTTACTCGGTACGCGTTTAAAACCCTTGCGAAACACTTTCAGTAATGTAATTTGCAGTGCAAGCACTTAAAAAATAAAGCTGGCAAGGACTGCCCTATTAATTTAGTCTTTATTTTTCTTTCTCAAATTTAGATGAAACTCATCCTTGCATGTAGGTCTGCATCAGCATGTCAAAGTTGATTTTAAATTTATGGTGGATAGGGACGTTGATGTCTTATATCTTTAGCATTGTTTTGTAGGATGTTTAGCAATGCCCAACTCACATGGAATTGTTTACTTAGTGAAATCTTTATGTGAGCAACCCTAGTGGATACAGTAGAATATTACAGGGTGATGTGTTATATGTATGTTAAAACTTCTTGATTATTTTTCTTCTTTGTAGTTATTCTTTATGTTTGATATTGAAAAGCATGCACTTAGTTTATTTATTCGCCAGTCAGTCAACCAATAAAGATTTATTAAGCACCAGGCACCGTGCTATACACTGGGAATACAAGAAAAGCAAAAGACAATCCCTGACCTCAAGGACCTCACCATCTAATTGGGGAGACAGCATGCAAACAATTAAGTACAATAAGATCTATCCAGGATGGATTGGAGGTAATGGACAGAAGAAAGGCACTAGCATTAAGGGGGATTAGAAAAAGCTTTTTCCAGAAGCTGGGATTTTAGTTGGGATTTGAAGGAAGCCAAGATTTGTTTTTACCTTGAGGTTACAGCTCTATTGAAGGGCAATGGATGCTGGTATATACAATTAAAAAGTCGACCTGATGTTATTGTTATTTCCTATCTTGGAATTGGGTGGCAGGATAGAGTGGATAGAGAGTGCTGGGCCTGAAGTCAGACTATCTTCCTGAATTCAAATGTGGCCTCTGACTTGATTTTTTTGATTAAAAAAAATTATATATACTAGCATCCATTGTCCTTCAGTAGAGCTGTAACCTCAAGGTAGAAACAAACCTTGTTTGCCTCAGTTCCCTCATCTGTAAAATCAGCTGGAGAAGGAAATGGCAAACCACTCCACGATCTTTGCCAAGAACACCCCAAGTGGAGTCACACAGAGTTGGATGCAACTAAACAGCAACAGATAGATATAATATTTGGTTTGTTGTTAATAGGCTCAAAGAAAACATTTTGAGTGTTTTAAATGTATAATTAAAATATATAAGTAGAAAGAATACAAGAAGTCAGATTTCAGATGGTGATGTAGCTGAAAATGTCTTTCTTTATTCAACTAGTCAAGCTGTTCTAGTGGTGTTCCTAACACTAATTCCTGTTTGTCATGACAGACAACATACAAAACAAAGGTATTACAGAAATTGCTGAGAAAACCAGAAAGCAATTAGTAAAAAATTGGATTTTTGTCCAACAACTTGCACCATATACCACAATAAGGTCAAGATGGACACATGACCTGAATATAAAAGGTCAGACCATAATAAAAATGAATAAAATGAGATCAGTTATCTTTCAGGAGGAGAATACTTAACCAACAAGGTACTGAGGAAATTACAAAAGATAAAATAGTGTTTGGTCTCAGACCAAACACTTGACATTTACTAGCTGTGTGACCCAGGGCAAGTCACTTAACCCCAATTGCCTTAAAAAAAAAAAAAGATAAAATAGGTGATTTCTGTTACATGAAATTGAAAAGCTTTTGCAGAAAACAAAATATCAGTGTATTTAGGAGCAGCTAGCTGGCGCAGTGGCTAGAGTACCAGCCCTGGGGTTGGGAGGACCTGAGTTCAAGTGTGGTCTCAGATCAGATACTTGACACTTACTAGCTGTGTGACTCTGGGCAAGTCACTTAACCCCAATTGCCTTGACCTCCCCCCCCTCAAAAAAACAACATCAGTGTATTTAGAGTAAGATGGGAAACTTGTCTTTTGGGAAGAACATCATTGCATCAAATATCTCAGAATAGTCTTATTTCCAAGATACACACATACACATACACACAGAGTCATTCTACAGTGGAGGATAAGTTGTGAAAGAATATGAACCAGCGATTCTCAAAAGAGGTTCACACTATTAACAACTATAGAAAATTGCTCTAAATTAATAACAATAAGAGAACCCACACAGTAAGCATTTTGATTATTATTTGTGAGGCACTGTGCTAAGTGCTAAAGATACAAAAACGAAAGTGAAACACAAATGTAATTCAAAACAACTATGACGTTTCACTTTATACACAGAAAATTGTGAAAGATGAGAATAATCAGTGTTGGATGGGATTTGGGAAGACACATTAATGCTGTGAATTGGTCCATGTATTGCAGAAAACAATTTGTAATTATGCTAAGAAAGTGACTAAGATGACCATATCCTTTGACCTTGAGATCCTGCTCCTAAGGAGGTTAGATAGAAAGGACCCATATTTATCGGAATACTCATAGAAGGTGTTTTGGTGTTTTGTTTTGTTTTTTTTGGTGGTAGCAGAGATTTGGAAACCAAAGTAGATTACCATTGATTTCATAATGGCAAAACAAAATATTGCGTGAATAGATGGCATGTTACTGCGTTATAATAAGAGACCAATAGGAAAAATTGAGAAAATTGTGGGAAAATTTATGTGAACCAGTACAAGGGTGAAGTAAGCAGAACTGGGAGACAATGTATACAATAATTACAACAATAAGTTGAAACAGAACTCTGTGTAATTATATTGAGCTGTCTACTGTCTACTGAGAAGAATGCTGCCTAAACTGTTAAACACAATTGATGTGCTGGTTGGTTTGCTAACTACTTTTTTTCCTTTTAAAAATCAATCTATCAGTTTATCAAAGCAAATATTAAACCCTTACTATGTGCTGGGCATGTGAGAAGAGAATGGCTTGCAGAGTAAGAGGAGGGGGGGAATGGAAGAATATATTGGAAATTAATATATTTAATAAAAAAAGTTTATATAATAATAAAAAAATCAGAAAAGCAGTATTTTCTGATTTCCAATTTTCTCTACAACTAAAAATTCATTGAGAATATCCCAAGGTGACCACAAGCATCCAAGATGTGATTATGAACTGGCTAAAAAGAGGGGAACTTTTTTCTCCACATCAGTTTATATTTCTTGAAGGAAGTGAGAGTGACAATAGCCTTTCTTTAAAGTCTTCCCTCATACTTTAAGCCATTCAAGATGCAGTCTATCCACTGTTATTCCTACTAATGTCATAATTGTGGATAATTAATTAAACTCTAAAGCCAGAGTTCTTAAACTGAGTGCTGTGAACTTATTTTTTAAAAAATATTTTGATAACTATTTCAATATAATTGGTTTCCCTTGTATTTTAATTTGTGAATTTAAAAACATTTTTCTGAGAAGAGATCTCTGAATTTTACCAGACTGTCAAAGGGGATTCTATGACACAAAAAAGGTTCAGAACCTCTGCTCTAAAGAATCTACCGAGCTGAGGGAGGTCTACTCTGGCCATAGTAATGGAAATTTTGCTTTGAGGCCTAATTCTGTGCCTGGACTCAGCTATACTAGATGGCAGGGTTTCATTCTTCTCCAGCAGTGTTGATTTGGTCCTTGCTACTAGAATCTTGACTCATCTGAGTTAGGTGGAAGAGAAACTACCCTTCATTGTTATCCAATCAAGTAGCATATTTTAAATGTATTTGAATCAGTCAACAACAACATTAATAATAGCTGTTGTTAAGGTTTGTATTAACACTTTCAGGTTTCCAGAGTACTTTACATGTATTATCTCATTTGGTCCTCGCAACAACAGATGAAGAAATCAAGAGTGAGAAATGTTAAGTTGTCCAGAGTTACATGGCTAATAATTATTTAAGCCAGGATTTAAACTCTTAAGTCTAGTACTTATCCACTATGCCACCTAGCTAGCAATTATAATAGTTTCTTTAAGGGAAAACACTTAAGAAATGGAAGGCAGAAGGTTGTGAGGGAAGACAGTCTCCTGCAATGATATGTAACTCTTTTTCTTCTAAAAGTAAATAAATGAAATACAAAAGACTGAGGGGAAAAGAGTGATAAACCTAGCTTTGTAATACATTTTAATTGGTCAAGTAAGAGCTGGAAAGTGTTCTAACAGAAGATAGCTCGTTTTCAAGCACATACTTGTCAATAAAATTTTTTGAATGAAATTGATTATGATTGATTATGTGTTGATAAATCACCCAATGCTTGATTATTGTAATATTATTTGTAGGCCTTTCTCATCATCACCTCTTCTTCTCAAAACAGTTAACTCACTTTTTTCTCCCACAAAACTACCTTGGAGTATATGTTGGTGAACCAAGCTAGTAGCTTTTCACCAATGTGGTATGCAGTAAAGGAAAGATCAAGGAAAGAAAATATTTAAAAAGCATATATAGATATACATAAAATAACACGTAAAATATTTTTGCAAACCATAAAGCATTATATAAATGTTGTGATATTATTATTATTATTATTATTATTATTATACAAAACACAATTTTTTTAGACAGTAGGAATGAAATTAACAATACTTGTCATTTTTTAAGTTATCAGTAGTTGTCTGAGGGAAATGTTTTACTTTATCATCTTGGTTTATTTCCATATGCCTTTTATAAACTTATTTCTGTTTGTTAGGCTTGAATTTGAAGAAGCAGAAGACCCTGATTTTACCACATTATGTCAGAAACTAAAGATACCAAATCGTGTCAGGAAAAAGGCTTGGGAGAATTGGGAAAAAGTTTCATCTATGGACGGAGTTTTGGTGAGCATATTTCCCTTAATTTTTAAAATTTTTGTTATCTCTGATCACATTTGTTGAATACATTGTATACTGAAATGATGTTAGGTATTGATTGCATATGTTCTGATTTATAGTGGAGAAAGTCCATAAAATATGTCCTGTAAAATGGCACTATTTTCTGTTCTTTTCACATGACTATAAGACCACAAAGAATTGAGTTATTTCGTGTTGTAGGTGCTTTTGAAAATACTATTTTTAGAGTAATTAAAAATAATTTGTTACTTGCTTGTACATCTCACCAATTCCTTTATAAAAAGAAAGAAACAAATCTCTAGCATTCCAAAGACCTGAACATGTATAAAAACTGAATGTTAAAAGAAAAGTGGTAGAATACAGGATGTCCCAAAAGTCGACCTGTGGGACATCCTATATATTTGTGGAAAAGAAGGAATAAAAGGAAGTTGAGGAAATGTGAGATTCTAGTATTATCAATAAAAATTTCCATTAAAATGATTATCTATATATTGCCGCATTTTGGGTACTTTTATTGGTTTGAAATTAGATGTACTAGGTTATTTTTATGTATGTAAAACTGCAAGAAATTACAACTCTTCTGAAAGTTGTAGGTATCCAGTGTTGGGGGAACTGAGGAAAGGGACTTGTGACTCAGAAATTATAGGTAGTCCCAGCTTAAAAAGTACTTGTTTGTACATTAGATTTTTGGAAGTAGGAAACAATGGTTTATAGTCACAAGATAGCTTTCAAAAGCCTATTTAAAATTTAGTGTGGTTGAACCTTTTTTTTTTCCTTTAATAGTCAACAAAAAATAAGCACAGTGGAATCTTGTGTTCTTTTGAACTGTTAGTCAGTTGTATGATTACTTTGTTACGGATTTACTCCGAACTATCTGAGTATTCCTTCTGAGTCTCACTTATAGTACCATCATCTATATCCTTTCTCTATGTGGCTCTACCCCTATGGCTCTGTCCTGGGTCCTCTTCTCTTCTCTCTTGATGCTCTCTATGAAAAAACAAAAACAAACCAAACAAACAGAAAACCACTGTCTGTGATCTCATCAATGCCCAAAGATTCAACTGCTGTACACAGATACACTTCAGATCTACTTATCTACCTCTCCTTTTCTCTGCTAAGTTCCAGTTCCATATTTCCATCTACTTGCTCTAGCATTTCAATTCAACATGTCCAAAACTGAATCATTATCTTTTTCCCCAAACCCTTTACTGTTTCTTCAAGGGTCAATCAGTAAATAAACATTTTTTAAGTGCTTACTATGTGCCAAGTACTGTTGTGAGGGTAAAAAGCATAAGGATACAAAGAAAGATAAAAGATAGTCCCTGCTTTTAAGGAGCTCATGGACTAATGGGGGAGGCAACATGCAAATAACTTATGTACAAACCAGCTACATACTGTATAAATTGGAAATAATCCACAGAGAAATGGCACTAGAATTAAAAAGGCTTAGGAAGGGCTTTCTGTAGGAGAAGGGATTTTAGTTGGGGCTTGAAGGAAGCCCAGAAGTAGAGATAAGAAGGGAGAGCATTCCAGGCATAGGGGAACATCTGGTGAGACTGCCTGAAGTCTGGAGATAGAGTGTCTTGTTTGAGGAGCAGCCAGGAGGGGGGAGGTTATGAAGGGCTTCAAATGCCAAAGGATTTTATATTTGATCATGGAGGTGATAGGAAGCCACCAGAGTTTATTGAGTAGGTGAGTAACAGATCAGAGCTGTACTTTAGGAAGATCACTTTGATAAACAGAGTTGGAGTGGACTGGAAGGAGAGAGACTTGAGGCAAGCAGACCCACAAGTAGGCTATTGCAGTTGTCCAGGCATGAAGTGACGAGAGTTTGCATTAGAGTGGTGGCAGTATCAAAAGAGAGGAGGTGTATCCAAAAGATATTACGAAGGTAAAATTAAATGGGCCTTGGCAACAGATTGGATATGGGGAATGAGATATAGTGAGGTGTCAGCGATGACACTGACGTTGTAAGCCTGGGAAGATGATGCTTCCCTTGACGGTGATAAGTAATTTTGGAATGGGGGAGGGTTGGGAGGAAAAGAGAGTGAGCTCTGTTTTGAACATGTTGACTGTGAGATGTTTGTGGGACATTCACTTTTAGATGTCCAAAAGATAGTTGGAGATGAGAGACCTGAGGTCAGCAGAGAGGTTAGGGCTGGATAAGTTGATTTGAGAATCATCAGCATAGAGATGACAATTATAGCCATGGGATTTGATGAGATCTTCAAGTGAAATAGTACAGGAGAAGAGGCCCCAGAACCAGGCCCTGGGGGATACCTACCATTATTGGGCATGACCTGGATGAAGATCTAGCAAAGGAGCCTGAGCAGTCAGATAGGTAGGAGGATAACCAGGCGAGAGTAGCGTTTTAAAAACCTAGAGAGAAGAGAGTCTCAAAGAGAAGAGGGTGATTGATACAGATTTTCTTGATCATCTTTTTTTCCCCCTGGTTCAATAACATTTTACTTTTTGTCCAGGTGTTTGGTGTCATCCTGCATTTTATATATCAAAATTGTGTTGTCTTTAGCATGGACGACTTTTGATTTTGCTTGGTCTAGTCAAGTTGTTCTTGCTGTTTTGTTTTCTTTATTGCCATTACATCATTGATTGTGATATTAGAGTCCAAATGTTGTCATTTCACTCTTTGTTGTTGTTATTCAGTCATTTCATTTGTGTCCAACTCTTTGTGATCTCATTTGGGATTTTCTTGGCAAAGATACTGGAGTAGTTTGCCATTTCCTTCTGCAATTTATTTTACAGATGAGGAACTGAGGCAGACATGGTTAAGTGAGTTGTCCTGGGTCACACGGCTGGGAAGTGTCTGAGGCCAGACTTGAACTCAGGAAGATGAATCTTCCTTACTTCAGGCTTGGCATTCTATCCATGGTGCCACCTAGCTGCTCATAATTTTGCTGTTATTGATAGAGAAAATTATTTGTTATAGAAGTTTTGACAAATATTTTTCATTTTTTATCTGTTTACTTGAATACTCTTGGGATGTCCTAGCTTAATTGGGCATGTCACCCGACTTCTATAAATTTGTTTTCCTCTGTGAAACTTCTCACTATTTTATGAGATGTTATTCGTAATCCCTCTCCTTCCTTGGTCACTTTATTTCTCTGGTGTCTCAGTTTCCTCATCTGTACAATGAAATGGTTTGATTGTATGACCAATGAGGCCCTTTGCAACTCAAAATCTATGATCCTGTGATGCTTAAGATTTTTCAGGCAGGTTTCTATCATAAGCTGATGTTGCCCTTGTATGTTATATCTTACTATTTAGCAAGATCAAATGTTTGCTGGCTAAAACTGTTTCTATGTTCATTTGATTTCCTTGAGGTGATTTGATTTATGTTGGTTAAACTTCAGCCAAGGTTTAAATTGGCTAAACTTAACTCAAAGTTAATTTAATAGTAATGGCAATTTCTTACTTATGAACACCTGATTTTTGAGGGACCCTTTCCTACAAATGGCTTCTCTACCTTTACCACTAATCGTACCTTCTGGTGGCATTAGCAGGAGCTATTGTCGTACGGGGGTCTATTGCCTTGCGTACCTCTGCTTCCTTTTAAAGCCACTGTCACTGCACATAGACTCTTCATTCCCTTATCTTCCCAGAAGCTCTGCTGAACGAAGTTTCTTACCTCATTCTAGAAAGTGGAAGGAAGGGAAACTCCTGTTCTTTTATAGGATGTGTATAATGTAGTGAGAAGTAGAAGTACCCTCTGACTAGGATCTATGACCAGATAGGCTCTTGGTATCTATAATTCCAACTGTGACTTGGAATGCTGTGACTGCATTTTTCTATAGAAACAATGTTATAAATTGTGGTTATGTTCCATGGTACTGTTGAATAGTCACATTGTCAGTCAGTCAATTAATAGTAAGGGTCTTTGTACCACATACTGTGCTAAGTGGTAAGCTAAAATTGTGAGTTAAGTAGGCATTTATGGGCTAGCCTGAGAAACTAATCACCATTTATAACATATTATGGTAAAACATATTCCTTTATGAGAGCATAATGTAGTGATGTTTTAAATATTATTTTGTTTATGTTCTTTTTTGCCTTATATGTTTTATGGTAGAAAACAATAACCTATAGAATTCCAATTATTTTTTGGTAGGATTGCATGTTTGAGAGTATAGTATGAATAAACTGAGAAATACCTCACTTTTGAAACATCTCTTGAATACATCCCCTTCTCTCCTCTGACATTGTTACCCTGCTACCATTCTGGTACAGGCCCTCATTACCGAATGCTTGGACTATTGCAGGAGTGCTGGTGGGTCTGCCTTCACGTAACTCTCCGCTCTCTAATCCATCCTCCATTTAGTCACCAATGTAATTTTCCTAATGTGAAGGTCTAAACATATCTCGCTCCACCCCTTTTGCAGTGGTTCCCTATCTCCTCTAGGATCAGTTACAAAATCCTTCCAGTCTTATACCTTATTCCCTGCCATATACTCTTCGATCTTTTGACATAGGCTATTCCACAAAAGAGACACTTCATCTCTGAGCTCTGGGTATTTTCTCTGGCTGTCCTTCATTTCTGGAATATTCTCGCTCCTCAACTCTACCTTCTGCCTTCCCTGGTTTCCTTCAAGTTCCAACTAAAATTCTACCAACTATAGGAAACCTTTCTCAACCCCTCTTAATTCCAAGGCCTTCTCTCTGTTAATTATTTCCTCATTTATCTTGTATATAGTTTTATTTATTGTTTTTATTCATCTTGTATATAGCTTGTTTGTATGTATTTTTTGCTTGTCTTCCCCATCAGATTGCGAGCTCCCTGAGGGCTTCCTGAAAGCTTTTGTATCTCCAGTGCAATGCCTAGCACATAGTAGGCACTTAATAATACTTAGTTGGCTGGTTGGTTGTTGCCCTTTGTTCTCAAAGAACACCAAAATGACATTACTTTGTTAGACTCGAGTTACAGTGTGTTGGACTGTGGCTGATCAGACCAATATGAGCTCAGAACGCTTTCC